ATATATATATATATATATACATATACTATATATGTATTCTATATGAAAGAGTTTTAGTTCACCGATGACGTAGATTAAACATGCTGTTTTATTTTACAGCGGAGATTAAGTTTTAATTAGACTTCATTTTCTGCTTAACGATTGTATCACCAAACGGTTTGGAATACATAGCGTACTATTTTAATTGACAAAAAATTGTAACTGTATGGTTTGGAATACATAGTGGACTATGTCTATCTTACATAAGACTGTCACCAAACGCATAGTGGAATATTACTATTATTATTACATATGCATTACCAAACGATTTTCACTACATAAAGGACTATGATAATTATTGTAAAAGTGTCACCAAACAATGAACAGTTACAACTGTTCCAATTCTATCATTGGTTGCATAAACGTTTAGCATAACAGATGCTTATCTTTTAACGTTCGTATCTATGTGCCAGTGAAAACATTTGACTGTGTTAGCACTAAATCATATTATTATTCAAAACGAATAATTTTGGAGTGGTTTGAAATAAAGGACTGAGCACACTTATTAAATAAAGTTTCTCATATTTGAAATTCTCAACTCTTATCAGTAAACAGCCATAAACTGCTTTACCTACGAAAGTCGATACATGACAAATAAAGAACCTCATGGCAACCACACTAGGATAAATCACTGAAGAACTCTGAGCCCGCTGTCTCTTCGAGCGTAACATGGCGACAGGGTACAAGAAAAACGTTTCCTTATTAATCACCCCGTGTGCCTAAAAGTTGCCGCAACATGACAATCCAAAGTTCGAGTCGCTTCTCGCTGATCGATAGCGTGATGGTATACAACACTGTGATTCACTACTTTGGTGTGTGAATGTAAAAACTGAATGTTAGCTGTAACTACTGTCGCAACGCATACGTTTTTTAGTTTAGTTTGGAATGAGCCAATGAGGAAAGGATTCGGTTTAAGAAGTTAAAAATAGATACTTATAAAGAAGTTGTGAAACGATTAAAAAGTTTGAAAATATGAAAGAGGTTTTACACACAGATGTTTGTAGTTAAAACAGGTGGTGGCAGTAGAAGGCACCATACTTCTAATTTATTGAAAAATGTCATATATATAGAGGCTGACTATAAATAAAACTGCATATTTAAAACTATTTTTCAATAAAAAACTACTTATTCTAGGAGAACTAAATTTCGCTAGAGACACATTGAAAATCATAGGTTTTATTCAAGACACTTTGGACACTATACAGAGTGTTTCAAAGGCTTTCACAGAAGAAACTTAGCAGGTTTCTCGTCATTCTCAATCAACATATCAAGCCTATCCCTAAGTTACTGCAATCGTTATTTGTTCTGATCGGTGTTCATTGACCCTTAAATATCTTGCACGCTGATTCGTATTTCATTCCAGTCATCAGTTTCGTTTGTTTGTTTGTTTAGAGTAAAGCCACATTAGGCTAACTGCTGTGTCAACCGATAGGTGTCGGACCCTGAACTTTAGCGTTGGAAGTCCGAAAACTTACCGCAGGCCCATCGGGAGACATAAAAAGAGAGAGAGAGAGAAGAAAAATAAAATCCGTGTGTCTGCGAGAAAAGCGATTTAGCTGGGCAATGTAATGCCCTTTTGAAGCACCCTTTACCATGTCCAAACTTTTCTCAATATAAATTATTATTTTCAATGTGCCTGTAATGAAATTTAATTCCCCTAGAACAAGATGTTTTAAATATATATTCACTCTAAATATATTGGTTTCTTGTTAATCGTCCTGTAAATAGCAAAAGGGGCGTCACTTTTCTTGATTGAGTATATTTAAACTTTTAGCCTTGATAAAAGAGTTGGCACAAAAGATCACATATAAAGTGTAATAAACTTAAAATCAGACCCCAAACTCGAGCGCTTTCGAATTGTAGTAAAATAAATATTTTATTAATTCGAAAAAAGTTATAAAGGAAATACAAAATACTAAACAGTAATCAATGTTATCAGGTGTATACAGTTAGGTAAAAAAACAATATAGCAGTAAAAGAGTATGAAAGCTTGTACATAAAATAAGCCACTACTATCACTATTACAAGTTAGTATCTTCCATTAAATGATAAAATCCATTTTTAGTGTACATATAACGTGTTGTGAAAGTTTCATGTTAACGGTTGCGGTTTCTGTAGAAAACTAGAGATTCAGAACTTATTGGCTGGTCTGAATGGAGTGACTGGAGTATGTGCTCCAGGAGCTGCGACGGTGGTGTCACCTACCAGCTGCGAAGATGCATTGACAAGTCAGAATGTAAAGGCGACCCAGTAAGATACCATATATGCAATATGGAGGTAAGTGTTATCAAACATAGTATGTAATAGAACTATTCCTTTTATTATGTGAACAAAAATGAAAACTAGCTTTTTAATTTTAATATAACACACACACACACACATATATATATGTATATGCTAAAAGTATTGATAAATTTCATCTTGGAAAATTCAATTGACTTGCTTACGGATTGATGATTAACTTGCTGGGCTGCATAACTAAATGTCTCTGGTTCAAGCCTGTGATGTACTCCTAAACATGCTATTATTTTTAGAAGTGGGCATGTTATAAAATTGACACTATTTTGTTAATAGTAATCTTGTAGGTGACGAGTGCTACTAAATAGTTTCCGTCACTCTGGTGAGCAGCTTTAAATTAAGGGTGGTTATTCATGAACCTTGGGGTCTCTAACCTGACATTTTAGCTCATGTATCACAAAAGGTGCCGATGAGGTTGAAAATATGAGAAAAGTTCAGACAGTTCTATGAGGCTTAAGATGCTTCTCATGTTACACTCTCTACCTTTTATCTTTTAGAATGATGATAATTGAATATATTATGATATACTTTATTTCTTAGAGATCTTTAACTATATTGTATATTTAACTCAAAGCAAACCATGAATGAGTTGCAAATATCTATGCACAAATGCATGTAAGAGCTTCAAAATCGGTTAGGCACTATTCAGATTACCAAAAGCTAAATTGCCACACTTATCAATATTTATGATAAGTTTAGTCAGGAAACATTTGCATTATTTTCATTCATAATCAAAGCCATGCGTTTTATTTATTCTTCAATAGAACTTTTTGTGCCCACCGCAGGTATATTCTAACAAAATAATTAAGTCATGCATTTTTATATATGAATTTATATTCTGGAATTAAATGTTTTTGAAGTTCAAAACATTTAGTGGCATCTTTTTATTACAGAACCTAACAGAAACAAATTTAGAATCTCAAGCATACGCTTGAGATAGTTAATTAATATAACAAGGAGAAAACTAGGATGACACATGCACAAAGGTTGGAATTTTGATGGTTACTTTAGGCCAAAAAGTAAGGAAGTATATATGCTTTAAGGTTTTGAAAACCAGTTGTCGAAAAAGACTTTCATGTGCTGTTGTTGTTGTTTTTTATCTTTATATTAAAATGTCTTTCACTCAATTACGAAAAGTTTCATACATTCGTAGCTATGCTTCGTCATGGGGATGCATAAGGATGGATAATTAAATACTAATCATCTTTATCTATTTTACTACGTTATGTATCTGAAACGTTTTAGGTTCGAACTCATAAATAGCTTGATAGTTATGCTCACTTACATTTCTGTCTTATGATGTTTAAGACATATATATTTTAATTCAACTACAAAAGTAATGTAGAAATAACCGAAGCTACAATTATCACTTAATATTCCATATTTTCCATTACTGAGGATTAAAATATTCAAGAGGATAAATTCCTCACAATATAGAAAAATAAATGAACTTTTTTTTACTTCTTCCCCTCAACCTCACTCAGCGTCAAATGATATATACAGAACTTACTAAAGGGAAGTCCAGAAGGATCTAGGATAAAACTCCCCTAAGCACGTTTCTGGATGAAGCTCTTTATCACGCGCTATTGACTGACAACATAAAATTTAACGATCACTTGTCGTTCTACAGTACATTCAGCTCATTAGATATACTTCTATATTGGCTATGAATAATAGCCAAAACTATTGTAAACATGTTATTCTGATTTTGTGTCTCACATATATATATATACGAAAGAAAATACTCATGCACATATGTGTATCTTTAAGTACACTGTTTCAAAGACAGGTTGGGAAATCACTTTTCGATTATTTTTATGAATAAAAAAAATATATTTTGCTTCTTTAGGTGCGTTAATTTTTTTCCCATACATCGAAGAGAATATTGAAGTTACTCTTCAACAAAATATATCATCAAAATAGCTATAACCAAAGATTGGTCAAGTATTTCTGAGGTTAATCACATTTTATAAGAAATATTGTCCAGTTTATGAGCTGGCCTTGTAAGATTCCCTCCATCGTCGATTGTTTTCACCTTAGTGACCACGATAATGCACAATTGCCTAACATCGCATGCAGTTTTCGTTGTAAGAAGCTTCTACGAAGGATGACAAGGTCAATCTTAGACCACACATCTTAACAAACTTTCCGCTGAGTGTGGATCTGTGCTTTCAAGACAATGCTTAACAGGTCAAAACTGCATGGATGGAGTTGACCGGTTATGTGTTTCTTAGGCCATCTTTTCATAAAAACTGCCGTTGATTTCAAAGTATGGCTTGTAGTATTTCATCCGCTTTATATCCTTGTTTATCATCTTGTAACTACACCAGAAGGTATGTCAAATTCCATCGCAATAGTTTTTGTATCCATAGCCTTCAATTTGTGGATGAGTGCTCTAGTCCTGATTGTCTTGTGGTGTGCTTTCGAAACTTATTGATGTCCTAATTTCTCTGTTGTGCAACCTTTTCAGCTTTCATTAAAATAATTGAAGATTAATTTCTTTGAAATGTTATACCATTTGAAGCTACATTGCTCAACAGCCTCACAGAAAGGGCTGTGACATAGTTTACAGCCATAATTCATCCCTTAAATGGTTTGGTAATTCACCATAAATTAAATATGTACGTATGTATAAGAGTAAACAAAGTTTTCTTCATACAAATGCGATTAACCTTCTTTAAAAGGCAATCTTTATATACTACACGTAATCTGTAATCCCACTCAAACTAGGTAGATATCATTTCATTTATTTTTCTGTTCATTTTATTATAAACAATCAGCCCAGTGACTCAAGCTTACAATTTTTGATAGAAAAATGGGTAAGCCTAAATCTGATGGTTTACGCCAGGTTTCAAATTAACAATACATAACTATTACGAATCCTTAAATGAATTCCATCCTGAGTTAGCTCAACTCGATATGGTACACTCTGTCTGTACATGGTGAGTAACAGTTACCGTATTTCCCGCTTTCTTTAGCGTGCAGTCTTAGAGGTTAGCGTGCAAAGTGGTGGATCTAAAAGTTTATGGATCGTGTTCTGTTATCGTAAGCAAAGAACAAAAATCGCTCTCTGCACTTTGGGGCAGTGGCCATGTTATAAGAGTGACAGTCAAATCATACAATTATATTAGCATAATCCAATACTTGGTGTTAATTAGCTACTTTCCATCTAATCTATCAGTTTAAAATTAGGGACAGCCAGCCCAGATAGTCCTTGTGTAACTTCGATCAAATATCCAAAACAAACAAAACAATATTGGTGTGAATTTTTTTCAGTCTGAGAGCCATGTGTCCCAAAGGCCTCTGAAATTAATTTTCGTAGTCCCTCACTAAAAAATTTACTTGTAAAGCCACAGAATGGAGTATAGTCTTGTGAGTATTTTAAGACCAGGTGTCACTTTATATGTACATTCTAACGTAAGTAATACACCATTTCATGAATCTACTTTATTTACGAAAGAAATAAAATACGGGCATTTGTCATATGCTATATATATATATATATATTCCACATGCTTATAATTCACCATACATTGTGATAGACATATAAAATGCAGTTGAATAAGCTTAAATAATGTTCACTAAATGTTAATACTCTATGTGATTACTATAAGTCAACATCTGATGCTGGTTTGACACAATCAATACAGTAACTGGATCTACTCTCTTCATGTGAGTCAGTACCATAAGATCCTTTCTAGAGTTTCGACAAAAAGTTCTTCACATTCAGGCGCATGCCTTAGTCTAAAGAAGCCCTTGTGAAGAACAGCTGCAGCGTATCTGACACTGATATTTGTGCAGACACGCGTTATTACTCCTACAAGTGATTTTTGTGCGGGGTCTTGTGTCATTAGTTTAAGCTCCATTTTGTCTCCTTGCATTTCCCATTCATTTCCGATGGGTGATCGACAGGATGGACTGTCCATGAGTGCTATTTTAGAGATAAATGTCTGGTAATTTGCTTGATTAAAGTGGTGATCAAGACAGTGTGCGGAGGGAGAGACTTACTCTTGTCCTGTTTTCTGCAGAGGACTTACATTTTACTTCTTTCACATCGGCTCCTGAACACTTCGCATCATACATTTTCCAAATTATTTTGTGGTAATTTTGTCTAGTGTTTCCGCTCATGGTGACAGTGTTTCCAAATTTTGCAGTCAGTCTTGGACGTTTTGCCAGACATAATTCGGAAATTTTACCTTTCATACTCTCAGGAAGCTACTGATAAAGTCACAAGGCATGTATTTGTAATAGGAAACATAAGCTGTTCGAAGAATTATGGACAGGAATATATCGGATTTATGCCTCGTACATGTTTAAATCATATCTTTGGATTCATCGGTGTGGAGATATGAACCAAAAGGACTGCTACTTGTGACTGTTTATGTCAGAGGACCAGACAACAATATGATCTTGAAGTATGCAGAAAAGTCTGGTTTAGCCTCTTCCTGGATGCTGGAGAGATGTTCCTCGTTGAACATCCTGGCCTTGTTCAAATCTACCAAAAGAATAATAATTTTTCACAATTATATCTCTACTTTAAACAGTAGACGCAATCAGAATTCAAAGGATGTAAAGGTAACTGAAAGCTCTATAACTAAATCGTCAACAAGAGAACTGCACGGCACTCATGTTCAGAGTGTTACTAACGCCGACCTGCAATACAGACATTATTTACATGTGCCCCTTTAAATTATACAATCTAAATATACCACAACATCATTGTATTATGTGACCCACACAACCACATATAAAAAACCAAGCTTCAATAATTAATTGTTTTATTTTTCTAATTTCAGTTTTTTCCCCCCTTTTATCATAGTTTATTTTCATTCTTTGCTAGTTCAACTAAATCCGTCATTTGTAACACTTTTATGGCTAAATAAGAATTATTTTTCCAAAATATATACACACACACATGTATATATATATATATATATATATATATATAATACACATCTAAAAACAACAAATTCCAAAAA